CCTAACCGGGGGTCACGGCTGCTCCCTGCCCTTTGAATGTCTCCAGGCTTTCCCACAAATCACCGTCAACGGTACCATCCCCTCCCCTCAGACTCTTGCACAGGCTTCCTCCACGGCCCACCCTGTGCAGATGGAGACAGACCCTGAGTCAGGTCAGCCTGCTAGAAAGAAACCCTTCACAGACGTGGGAGGACAGGAGGAGAGTAAATACTTCTCAGGATCTATTCTTAGCAATGAAGGAGGAGAAGGTACTACCTGAACAGAGACCAAAATGTGTCCATGAAAGGTCACCTGAAAACAAAGCCTCTGAAGATGAATAAGAAGTTTCCTCAAAGCACACGGGGAAGCAATTATAAACCATATGTTTGACACTGGCCGGGGGTCCGGGGGCAAGAGAGATAAAAGCAGAGGCCGCTTTGCGGGCACTGAGAGAGCCAGTGCCCAGAGCAGCAATGAAAGGGAGCTTTCCAGAAAGGCGGAAATGGGAACAGAGACCCGCAAGAAGCAGCTGCACCCTCAGCTCAGAGGGGAAGTCAGCTGAGCTGAAACCAGGCCGGGGGCTTTATATTTATACATATTTGTCCCTGGTGGCTCAGACGGTAAAGAATCTGCCTGCAGTGCGGGAGACCCAGGTTTGATTCCTGGGTCAGGAAGATCCCCTGGAGAAGGGAAAGGCAACCCACTCCAGTATTCTTGCCTGGAGAATCCCATGGACAGCGGTGCCTGGTGGGCTACAGTCCATGGGGTCCCAAAGAGTTGGACATGACTTAGTGACTAACACTTTCACTTTCTTTCATTTGTCCATCAAGGAAGTCTGGGGTAAAGAGATGAAGCGGGCAGGGAAAATGCCACATCACTGGATATTTTCCATGGGGGGAAGAGTGAGGGTGGGGCATTTATATGCTGGATAAGTAGTTTCAAACATCTGTACGTGATAATGTTAATTAAAATAAAAAGCAGCTTGTGACTTTTTTTTTTAGGCACAAAATGTAGAATGTGAGTTCAGGGTTTTAAGAGGAGAGTGTGAACTGCCATCTGGAGGCACTTTTAGGTTCAAGAAAGGTTAAGAGACAATAAAACAAAGACTATAACCTGTTGGTCTAGTCATCATTCATGAACAAGTATTTATTGATGACTTAGTATGATGGCAGGCCTTGTGCTATGCACTGGAAATATGGCAATAAAATAAAACATCATAGACCCTGTCTTCATGGAGTTTCCATGCTTTTTTGGGGGGGGGGATTAAATTTCATTTATTTTTAATTTTAAAAATTTTGGTACAATATAATACATAACATGGAATTTACTCTCTGAACCATTTTTAAGTGTCCAGTTCAGTGGCATCGAGTACGATCACATTCCTGTGCTACCATCAACCGTCCACAGAACTCTTTATCTTATAAAACCAAAGCTCAATATCCACTAAAAAGCAACCACTCCCATTCCACCTTCCACCCAGCCCCTAGAGCCCACTGTGCTACTTTCTGTCTCTACGATTTCAACTACTCTAGGTACCTCGCGTGAGTGGAATCATATGGTATTTGTCTTTTTTTGTGACTGGCATATCTTATTTACTATACTGTCCTCAAGGTTTAACCATGTTGCAACATGTATTGGAATTTTCCTTTCTTTCTAAGACTGAACATTGTATGTATGTATCACATTTTGTTTATCCGTTCCTCTCTTAGTGGACATTTGGGTGGCTTCCACCTTCTAGCTACTGTGAATAATGCTGTTCAAATCCCTGATTTCAATTCTCTTGGGCGTATATCCAGGTATGGAACTGCTGGATCATGTGGCAGTTCTATTTTTATGTTTTTGAGGAAGTGCCGTACTGTTTCCACAGCGGCTGTACCAGTCTCCATTCCCCATAGCAGTGCACAAGCGCTCCAGGTCACATCCTTCTCAACAGTTGTTCCCTTCCTTCCTCCACTCCTCCCTTCCCATAGTCATCCTCATGGGTATGATCTACAGCTCTATGCTTTATTGCAGAATCTCCTGGCTCACAGGTGATCCTATGACCTCTGGTGTGTGCGTGTACACACCAGTCTTTTGGAAACATTTTTACTGTTAATATCAAAGCCACAGCCCACCAAGGTATGTGGCCATGGAGAAAACCCTAAGTCCACCAGTAGGAAGGGCTCCTGTAGTGACTTGTACTCTCAGAGGAAGGGGGAGGTGGTGTAGATGCTACAAGGCAAGAGGCCAGCTTCTGAGGGCTCTGGCCCTATGGGCTTCCCTGGTAGCTCAGAGCTTAACGCGTCTGCTTGCAATGTGGGAGACCTGGGTTCAATCCCTGGGTCAGGAAGATCCTATGGAGAAGGAAATAGCAACCCACTCCAGTATTCTTGCCTGGAGAATCCCATGGACGGAGGAGCCTGGTGGGCTACAGTCCACGGGGTCGCAAAGAGTCGGACACGACTGAGTGAGGTCACTTCACTGATGCATCAGTGGCAGGACCTCCTCTGATGCCCCGCTCCTGTGTGGAAGGCAGGACTTCCTTCAGAAAAGTCTAACATCAATTCCTACAATTCATGATAGGAGGAGACACTGGTTCACCGCTGCCAACGCGACCCACTAAAGGAAAGACAGCAGATGGAAAAATGGAACGATGTAGTGATCTTTCAGAACAGGGGCCAGAAAGGTGGGAAGGATGTAGTAATAACAAAGTTGTGTAATAATTCACACTACTCTAATGCTTGGAGCAAACTTATATGCAGAGTACATCATGCAAAACGCCAGGCTGGATGAAGCACAAGCTGGAATCAAGATTGATGGGAGAAATATCAATAACCTCAGANCCTGCAGACAGTCTCACAACGAGGCATGATGATGGATCCTGGCAAAGGGTCTAACAGTTAACACTGTCTAGGCCCCAACTCATGACACAGGGGCATGGGGCCACTGGTATGGTATTTATAAAGGGCTATTGCATGCGTTATGACCTATGGCAATGTGGGAGCACCTCATGGCCTCCCTCCCTGCAGGAATTAATAGGGTTCCCTATGGGTTAATTTAGGCACTAGGCAGAATCAAGCCAAGTTGCAGGGTTGCCAGGAAAATCACAGGTTTATGAGACCTGGCAGGTCTGGGTAGCACCTGGGCAGCCTGATCAGATGATGTGCTGGCTGATTTGGCCTTGAGTTTTCTGGAAGGAGGTTCTGACACTCTCAGGTAAGAACGGGACAATAATAGCACTATGCTGACGGTTACAGGAGGCTCAGAGATGGGTTCTCCTTTTATAGATAGGAAAGCTGGGGCTCAGAGAGGGAACTGGCTTATCAAAGATGGGTTCTCCTCTTTTTTTTTTTTTTTTTTAACATTTATTGTAATTGAAGGATAATTGCTTTACAATATTGTGTTTCTGCCATACATCAACATGAATCAGCTATGGGTACACATATGTTCTCTCCCTCTTGAACCTCCCTCCACAGTTTTCATTTTTCAAAAAGATCTAAAAATAAGTAATAACAAAGCTGAAAAAAATGTAAAAACCAGTGTTCTGTAATAACCTATATGAGAAAAGAAATCAAAAAAGAACAGATACATGCACATGTATGGGCTTCCCAGGTGGCTCAGTGATACAGAATCCACCTGCAATGGAGGAACACGGGTTCAATCCCTGGGCCAGGAAGATCCCCTGGAGGAGGAACTGGCAACCCACTCCAGTGTTCTTCCCAGGATAATCATATGGACAGAGGAGCCTTGGTGTGAGGGGAGGCTATAGTTTATAGGGTTGCAAAGACTCAGACACAACTGAAGCAACTGAGCAGGCAAGCTGCTCAGATGTACAACTGAACCACCTGTAGCACACCCCAAATCAATACAACATTATAAATCAACCGCATCCCAAGCTAAAATAAAAATTAAATTACATTTTCAAATGTAAAAATTATTCTCAGCTTGCACCCATCCACTATTTTAAAATAGAATGCATTTAACCTATAGATAAGCTGAGGGGATATTGTCATCGTAGCAATATTTCTTAATTAATCATCTATTTTATATATAGTATCAATCGTGTATATATGTCAATCCCAATCTCCCAATTCATCCATCTCCTATTCCCCCTTGGTGTCCATATGATTGATCTCTGTGTCTGTGTCTCTGTTTCTGCTTGGCAAATAAGATAATCTATACCATTTTTCTAGATCCCACATATATGTAGTAATATACAATATTTGCTTTTCTCTGACTTTATTGTTTTTCATTTTTTTAATTGAAGATAACTGCTTTACAGAATTTTGTTGTTTTCTGTCAAACCTCAACATGAACCAGCCATGTGAAAGTGAAAGTGAAATCGCTCAGTCGTGTCCGACTCTTTGTCACCCCATGGACTGTAGCCTACCAGGATCCTCAGTCCATGGGATTTTCCAGGCAAGAATATAGGAGTGGGTTGCCATTTCCTTCTCCAGATGAAGCNAACCAAAATTGAAAAAGACACATGTATCTTGAATGTTGAACCAATGTTCAATGCAGCACTATTTACAACAGCTAGAACATGGAAGCAACCTAGATGTCCACTGATAGATGAATGGGTAAAGAAGTTGTGGTATATATACACAGTGGATTATTACTCAGCCATAAAAGGAACATGTTTGAGTCAGTTCTGATGAGGTGGATGAACGTAGAACCTATTATACAGAGTGAAGTGAGTCAGAAAGAGAAAGATACATATTGTATTCTAACGCATATATACAGAATCTAGAAAAATGGTATTGAAGAATTTATTTATAGGGCAGCAATAGATGCCCTTTTATAGATGGGAAAGCTGGGGCTCGGGGAGGGAACTGGCTTAGGTCACATAGCTGATTAGCAGCTTTCACCGTTTGTGTCAGCAAAGCCACAGTGACATTGTTGCCACAGGTGCCATGGAGGAAGGTTTACTTTTAGAGCAAACTCAAGTGGAAAAGGAGAATTAGGCTAGAGAAACCCTAGGCAATAAAACCACTTTGTAAGCCACAGACATTTAAGTTAGTAGCAATAAACAACGTACTCACATGGTGAAATATCTACAAAGTTTGGGTCGATATTGTGCAGCAGCTCCATTCTGGGGGATGGGCTTCCTTCACTAAAAAAGAATTTTTTAGAAAACATTAATTTCCTCTTTCAAATGGGTATGAGTAACTGTAATACTTCCTTTCCTTGTACTTATAGGAAATAACAAAACTGCCAGTTAACAACTCTGTCATGAATTCAGAGGCTTCCAAAATCTGTGGTTGTGCATCTTCAAGTAGTCATCACTTGTCTACATTGTCACAATGACTGAATGTTTACATAACAACTTCAGTGTCAAGCACATGACCATTACAAAGATGAGTTCTGTGACTCTTTGCAATAAATAATGTGACTGTATTTAAACATGACCATTCGTTACAGCAGTGAAATGAGAACTCCAGTATAGACTCCACACTGAACACTCACAGTGAAAGGAAGAAAAAGCATCTGCTAAGACGTCAGTGCCCATATCACCGATGCAGCATGCCTTTTAAATGAGCCCACATGAGAAAAATGAGTGTCTTCCGCATCTGAATTTACAGTGTGACACTTATATGCAATATAAATACATATGAAATAGTTATACCTCTTTAAGACTTTTTTTCTTTAAGATATATGTGCAAATGCAATCACAACTCACATTAGTGTTGAAAACAAACCTGGAGAGCAGTTCAACCTGCTCATGTTTCATATGAGAAAGGCACATAGTAAGTTATTGGCCAAATATTTGGTTGTGAGTGTTTCTAAAAAATTGGGAGCATAAACATCACCACTTGTACACAGGGTGTGCAAAAAGCACCCAGATCATTTTGCTAGTATAGACCCAGCCTGAAGGAAGAAGTTCTTAGACAAAATTTCAATCGCTGGGGAACTCCTAAGGACTACTTGATAATACAACAAAAGGTTGCAGAGTGCTACCAACACTACAGGGTTTGTCCACACCTGAATAACCAATAAAGCCCCTGATGTAACCAAGAATACAAGCTTCAGTGTCCACATCCCAAACTCACAGTTAGTTGTCTACAGCAGTGGCTTAGGACTTCAGGGACTCGTAAATTTTCAAAAAATCTGGGTTTTGATCGGCAATGTTATATTTGCCAAGTAAGGGAAAGTTAAAATAAACCTCATGAATAAAAACCAAAACCAAAACAAGTTTCAACTACCATCACCGTCCATTATTTTACAAAATAAAGGTAATTTTAACAGCAACAAAAGTTAGGACAAATACAGTCTCAGAATAAGAAACAATTCTTTAAAGTGAATATATTTAACTTCTAGATTCTATAAGATTTCCTTTTTCCTCTCTACTCCATAAAATCCTCTAACTAGAGAGAGGAAAATATACAGGGATGATTCTAGGCCTGGGGGCAGCTCTGTGCATGTGGGGGGCTATTTCCTTGGACTCCTCCTCATTTTCTTCCTGAGATATTTAACTCCTGTATATCATGGAGACTGTCAACCAATCCAAAATGACAGAAACTAGGGTTTCATCCCAGAAGCTCTGAATGTAAGCAGGGATGATAAGCCAAAAAAAAAAAAAAAAAAAAAAAAAAAAAAAAAAAAAAAAAAAAAAAAAAAAAAAAAAAAAANAAACTTAATAGCAAGAGATGAATTTTGAACACTAAAGGTAGTGAGTAATCCCAGTGATGAATTATTTGCTGGGGAAAATCATCGCAGGTAGAATCTCATGAGGCAGACAGGAGTGAAAAAACCAAAAGTCAACCAACCTTCTTAAGTCACGTATGTAGTGATGCTATTTTTTTTCCCATTTATTTTTATTAGTTGGAGGCTAATTATTTCACAATATTGTAGTGGTTTTTGCCATAGATTGACATGAATTAGCCATGGATTTACATGTGTTCCCCATCCCGATCCCCCCTCCCTGATGCTACTTTTTAAAATCTACTAATCAGAATATTTTGATAAGGACGTGGTCAGAGATATAAGCCAAGGAAAGACAAAATAAGACAAGTGATTTAAACAATAACCAAATACTATTAGAGACTTCAAGTTATTAAATGAGTCAAGAAAACTACATGTACATTTAAAGGAACTGAATAAAGTATCATAAATCTTGGGGTGTGTGTGTGCTAAGTCTCTTCAGGGGTGTCTGACTCTTTGAGACCCTGTGGACTGCCAGGCTCCTCTGTCCATGGGATTCTCCAGGCAGGAACACTGGAGCGGGTTGCTATGCCCTCTTCCAGGGGATATTCTTGACCCAGAGATTGAGCCCATGTCTCTTAAGCCTCCTGCATTGGCAAGCAGGTTCTTTACCACCAGGGCCACTTGTGAAGCCTAAACTTTGGGTTACCCCACATCAAAGTTATTAAAATCCTTAGATAAGCTCATGTACCTATTCCCTGGGGCTAAGTCCTTTGGAAAGTGATGGATTTTAGAAATATCTCCAGGTGAATTTTTTTAAAAAGTGCATACATACATGTAAAGGGAAGCTAGTGATAATGGAAATATGATAAAATGTACACCAAACTATTAGCTGGGATGGGAGGATGGGTTGGGTGACACCATAAGACTTTCATTTTCAATAGTGCTTTATACAGTTGGCATGCATCATTACTGCAATCAGAAAAATTTTAAGATTCTTTTTAAGGTAGTATATAACTTGTAAACATTTTTATTATTTCATAAAGACTTTAAAAAGCAAGAAAAGAGAAAAGTCAGATAGTTTACAGAATTTGAGAATTTAAACACAGGAAAATGACCCATAACTATGTTGTAGCTGCAGTATTTAAACACATTAGTTGATTTTTGAAATTCAGTTGCATGCTACTCACTCATGCTATCACATACTGGTAATAACTGATCATGTGATTTCCCTCTCAGCATGTAGAAATGTCCTGATATGTTTAAGATCAGACTTGCCTTGAAGGTAGAAAACACAGTAAAGGTATTATGGTCACCGGGTTGGTTCTCAAGTCTCAACACTTACGTCACTTCTTTCATTTTGGTAAAGGGTTCAGAGTCTCAGTGCCTGAGATGGAGGGAATAAGAGAAAAAAGAGAAGGAGATGTTAGGGGGAAGGAGAGGCAGAAAAGCCGGAGGAGGAGGGAAGGAAAAGGGGCTGTGGGTTTCCTTTAACAGTTATGCGCTAAGTTAGCAGGGATCACTAAAGCACTGACACACACACACACACACACACACACGCACACCCCGCCTCCAGAAGGCACAGAACCCACACGACTCATTTCGATGGAGACAAGGCTGCCGCACATTGATGCCGGGACAGAGGTGTAGACTCAAGGCACCTGGGGAGAGCACGTGGAGACTAAGGCTGGTGGTGGGGGATGAAAGGAGAGATCACGAAGACCAACTCTGCGAGCTTTGTGACTCTGTCCAGGAGACACTTAAGAGTCACGACTCTGCAAAGACCAGTGAGGGTAGAGAGACGCTGGTCAGAACGAGGTGAAGCCCATTATCGGCGAGGGGAGTCCTTCATGCCCGGGAAGAAGACCTCCCACCCAGCTCAGCTCCCATTGTCTGCAGGCATTCAATCTCCCCAGAACTGAGAACTGGACGCCAATACTGGGACACTGGTACCCTGGTTATTGGGAAGGATTATCTATTGCTGAATTAATATATTAACACTCTTTTTTTAAATATGAAAAAAAGAGAAAAGTTCAGTAAGTAGCTGCTGAACATTTCCTGGTACAATTTAAAAACACTCTTCTCTCAAGAAGTTCCACCATAAGAGAACGATCTCACTGATCTGGAATTCAGCTTGGGCATAAAGATTTACANAGGATGAGACGGTTGGAAGGCATCGCTGACTCAATGGACATGAGTTTGAGCAGGCTCTGGGAGTTGGTGATGGACAGGGAGGCCTGTCGTGCTGCAGTCCATGGGGTCGCAAAGAGTGGGACACGACTGAGCGACTGAACTGAACATTCCATCGTATGTTTATACTACATCCTCTTTATTCATTTGACAATTGATAAACTAACTGTTGGGTTGTTCCTGCCTTTTGACCATTATGGATAATGTTGGTATAAACATTTGCATACAACTTTACATCTGGACATCAGTTTTCATTTCTCATGGATATGTACCTAGGAGTAGAAAGACTGGTTTGTATGACAACTCTTAAGTTTAACCATCTAAAGAACTACCAGACTATTTTCCAAAGCAGCTGCACCATCTTACACTCCAACCAGCAGTGTATGAGGGTTCTGATTTTCCATGTACTTGTCAAAACACTTGTTATTATCTGCCTTTTTAACTCTAGCCATCCTATTGGATGGAAGTAGTAGCTCATTGTGACTTTGATTTGATTTGATTTAATCTGATGCCTGAAAATGTAGAGCATCTTTACATGTGCATATTGGACATTTGTATGTCTTCTTTGGAGAAATGTCTATTCAGATCCTTTGCCAATTTTTTAATTGGGCTGTTTGTCTTTTTATCATTGAGTTGCAAGTGTTCTTTACATATTCTTCATATAAGTCCCTTTTCTGATACATGATTTACAAATGTTTTCTCTCATCCTGTGGGTTGTTTTTTTACTTTCTTGGTGGTGTTCCTTGAGGCACAGATTTTAATTTTGATGAAGTCCCATGTTTCTATGTCTTCTTTTATTTTTACTTTTGCTGTCGTATCTAAGAATCCTTTACTAAATCCAAAGCCATACAGATTCATTCCATGTTTTCTTCTGAGGTTTGTAGTGACTATATTTAATTCTTTGATCCGTTTTGAGCTAATTTTTATGTGCGGTATGAGATAAGTGTCCGTGTTCATCCTTTTGTATGGAGACCCTTTTATTGTCCCAGAGTAAGACTTTTGATTTGTTGAAAAGACTTGTTCTCTCCCAATTGGAAAGTCTTAGAACTGCTGCTAAAAATATACGGGTTTATTCCTGAGCTCTCAATTCTGTCCCATGAAAAACTGTGACAATTCTTGTACAGTATATCACTGTTTTGATTACTGTTGCTCTGTAGTAAGTTTTCAAGCCATAGAGTATGAGTCTTCCTACTTTTTTTCTTTTTCAAAATTATTTTGGCCATCCCTGCCCTTGGAAGGACCAGTCTGCCAGCTTCCACAAAGGGACTGGCTGGAGT